AGTCGACGATTCGCGCTCTAAATCATTTCTATATCCCATCTACGAGATTTTGTGGGCGACCTACGATTGTAGAGTGGCGACATGTCTGGCACCAGAATGATTTCTTCCTGGTTTCATGGCAAAAGGGTATATTGACTGGTGGAAGAAGAAGAAGAAGAAGAAGAAGAAGAGACTGGTCTTTTAATGTCTCCTCTTTCTTCTTCCTTTTTCTATCGCCTTTTGCTTGATCATGCAAGGGAATTAGGAACACAATTCTGCCCGGGGAAGGAGCACATAGCTTGGGGCTCTTCGGCACACAGAAACCTTACAGGATTGCTGCCTGGCCACTGTTTTATATTCCCCTGGTAAGTGGGTTGCATGTGCTCTTGATACAAGCTCCACAAAAGAACTCCCCCCCCCCCCCCTACAAAGCCTTGTGTTTGCACCACCACAAGCATCACTTTCATTCTTTAGCTGCATGCACAGTGCCAAGAGCTGCTTTCAGAGATTATATTCTCTGGGAAAGGAAGGTTACCATGAGAGTGGATGCATATCACTCGACATCCTCAAGAGCTAGCACAGACCCCATGCATGGTTTGCACCATTTGAGTTCCAAGCAGCATGCATGAGCCAAACAGGAAGATGCAGCTAGCACTGGAGTAAAAGATCTGCAATTCCAAGATAATAATCCAAAGGAATGAGCAAGAGAGCACCATCTAATTGAATAAGTTTTGGATACAGTGTGTCCCACATAAACAATCACATTCCTCCTCCTGTTCGTTCCAAATATTTAGCTGGAGAAACACATTTGGCCTTCTCATAGAACCCTCTATGGACCAAGGTTGATTGATGTCATGGTTCACAGAAACCCCTTTGCATAAGCCTCACATCATGTATAGTTCCATTAAAGAAAAGAGCCACACCAACCCAACTTCCAAAGATTGCACAACACATCTGCATTTACTAATCCCACCACCTCCATTCACAAGTGTTAACAAAGCATTTGAGCCCTTCTCCTTAGTGTAAACGTGGCTGCAACAAAGCTTGTTGGTGGGCCCCCCTCTCTCTCTCTCTCTCTCCTCTAACTATATGTATGTGTGAGTGTGCGTGCTTTCCCCCTAACCATCCAACTTCTTCAAACCACCATCACTGCCACAAGCAACTCTCTTCCTCCTCCTCCTCCTGTCCACCACATTATCGACCATGACACCGCGCGAGACTGAGCCTGACTCCGGCGGAGGCCACGCGAACCGGCCTATCGGCAACTCGACTGTCGTCGCATACCCGAGTCAGGCCGCCGCAGTCCTTCCGATCACCCTTAAGGTAATATTTTGCGTGCATGAGGCAGCTCTCAGCTTGTATGACTGCGTACCTATATCTTCTCCTGCTTGTGTGGCTTTGCAGTTTGAGGAGGTGGTGTACAAGGTGAAACGGGGGGCCAAAGGGTGGTGGCCGAGCTCGAGCAGCCCGGCCGAGAAGACCATACTCGACGGGATAACGGGAGTGGTCTGCCCCGGGGAGCTGCTGGCGATGCTGGGCCCGTCCGGGTCCGGCAAGACCACTCTTCTGACCGCCCTCGGCGGCCGGCTCCGCGGGAAGCTCTCCGGAAAAATCACCTACAACGGCCACCCCTTCACCGGCGTCGTCAAGCGCCGCACCGGCTTCGTGGCCCAGGACGACGTCCTCTACCCCCACCTCACGGTGACCGAGACGCTTACCTTCACCGCGCTGCTGCGGCTCCCCGGGTCACTGAGCCGGGCAGAGAAGGCCCATCAGGCCCAATTAGCGATCTCCGAGCTGGGCCTGAACCGTGTGGCCCACAGCATGATAGGCGGGGCCCGTGGGGTGAGAGGTCTCTCCGGCGGTGAGCGGAAGCGGGTGAGCATCGGACTGGAGCTGCTGGTGGACCCGAGCCTGCTGCTGCTGGACGAGCCCACGTCCGGCCTGGACTCGACGACCGCCGCCAGAATCGTCGCCACGCTCCGCCGGCTGGCGGTGGAGAAGGGCCGGACGGTGGTGACCACGATCCACCAGCCGTCCAGCCGCCTCTACCGCATGTTCGACAAGCTCGTGCTGCTGTCGGAGGGCAACGCCATATACTACGGTCGGGCGGCCGCCGCGGTCGACTACTTCGCGTCGGTCGGATTCCCCTGCCCGATCGACGGTGTCAACCCCGCCGACTTCCTACTGGATCTAGCTAATGGTAGGTTTCATGGCCACTTGCCCACATAGGACTGCATATATGACAGACACTCTTTCAATCCAAACTCAGCTTAAAAACTTCAACTCCTTTCAAATCCAATTTAATTACTCGTTAATGGATATTTTAGTCTTTACAATCTTATAGATCATCGACTTAGGATTTGATTACCATAGACGATTAGAACTGGTTGATATGTACATATCTTTGTATCCTTATCTATATGTGATCCTGCATATTGTTTGGGAAGTTTTGACTCTAGGAATGACGTACCCACAAAGTGGAACTCTCTTTGGTGTGGGTCCAGGACGAGGCCATGCCAAGGGCCCCATACTGGCACACCAAGCCAAATGCCACTGGTGGGAAGTGAGTGCTGGCTGGATCGAAGAAGCATGGTGATGGTGGGGGATCAGCTTGGTCACTCTCAGGCCCATCTCATCCCTTCCTCGTGAGGTTGCAGGGCAAGTGGCCAGGGGAGATCTCTCACACCCGCCCACCCTTTCCGCTGTTCTCGATTTGCCAGCAGTCCCCACACACCACACTTCCATGGCTGTTCGTAGTGGTCTTCTGCACAGCCATCTCTCTCTCACCATCTTATCTACATAGAAGTGCATGTCGCCTTGTACATGGCACGCTGCTACAAGCATTGACTTCCTCTCGCTTGTATGTGTGTGATGGGTGAAGTATCGAGTTAGGTCAACCCTCCGATGAGGCTGAGAGAGTGGGTGTCTCAGCCGAGCAGCATCCAGGGAAAGGGAGGGCTTCTCTGGGCAACACATGTCCTCTTTCTTGTCCCATCATCTCTCACTGTGGGTGGCCCAACGTTAGCTTGAAGGTTACAGCGGTGGCTGATGACAAGCTCTCGTGTGGGGCAGGAATCGCGCCGGAGTCGAAGTACGCAAGCGAGAACGGCGAGGCCAATGGCGGCATGCAGCGGGAGCAGAAGGCGGTGAAGGAGGCTCTCATCAGCGCGTACGATCGCAACGTCGCCACCCGATTGAAGGCGGAGCTCTGCGCGGTGGACTTGAACAACCATGGCTACGCCAGAGAGATGGCCAATGCCAGCACGCAGTGGTGCACGAGCTGGCGGGAGCAGTTCACGGTGCTGCTCAGCAGAGGGTTGAAGGAGAGGCGGCATGAGGCCTTCAACAAGCTCAGGATCTTCCAAGTCCTCAGCGTGGCCACACTCGGAGGTCTGCTTTGGTGGCACACCCCATTATCCCATATCCAAGACAGGGTAATCACTCAAACCTGGGAATTCTTGTGAGTTCTTGTGGCTATGGTGATCGATCTCGTTGCTTGTTCTGCAGACAGCACTTATCTTCTTCTTCTCGGTGTTCTGGGGCTTCTTCCCGCTCTACAATGCCGTGTTCACGTTCCCGCAGGAGCGGCCGATGCTGAGAAAAGAACAGGCCGCCGGCATGTACCGCCTTTCGTCCTACTTCCTAGCGCGCACAGCGGGGGACCTGCCCATGGAGCTTGCGCTCCCGACCGCCTTCACCTTCATCATGTACTGGATGGGCGGCCTCGACCCCCACCCGCTCACCTTCCTCCTCTCCCTCCTCGTCGTCCTCTTCAGCGTCCTCGTGGCGCAGAGCCTGGGCCTCGCCGTGGGGGCCATGCTGATGGACGTCAAGCAGGCCACCACCCTGGCGTCCGTCACCACCTTGGTCTTCCTCATGGCCGGCGGGTACTACGTGCAACAGATACCGCCCTTCATCGCCTGGCTCAGGTACTTGAGCTACAGCTTCTACTGCTACAAGCTCCTGCTGGGCGTCCAGTTCACGGAGCACGACTCCTACGAGTGCTCCAAAGGGGTGATGTGCCCGGTGATGGAGTACCAAGCGATCAAGTCGGTGGGGCTGCGACGCATGTGGGTCGACGTGTGCGTCATGGCGGTGATGCTCGTCGGCTATCGGATCGTCGCCTACCTCGCGCTGCGCCACCTGCAACACAGGTGACGGAGAACAGGGGCCGATCGATCGAACTCTTCCCGTTGGTCGAGGATGCACTCCGACAAAGGTCCCCTGCAACCGATCACACTCGAAAGGAAGCAAGCGCCGAATACCGCAAATTCGAGCTCCCCGGACAATACAAACAATAATGGACGCCTTCGAGCGTTCTCAGGTCCTGCGAGAACTGCTTGTTAGTGAAGGCCTACAAGCTGTCGTTTGGGCAATATGTGCAGAACCAGTGCTCCAAGTTTTGTTAGCAGCATCTATGAATTTGATAGGAACTAATTCCACTATATCAATCGACTGTGGAATACAAGCGTCGCTGGATATGAACAACAACACTTCTACAGCCAGCAAAGCAGAGCTTCATGATCCTCTAAAGCTTGTCAACTCCATTACGATCCCTGCCATCTCTCTCTCTCTCTCTCTCTCTCTCTCTCTCTCTCTCTATATATATATATATATATATATATATATATAGTCCAATATTTTTACACTATGTTATAATATTTTCAATAATACTAAAAAACTATTATAATAATATTTTTACACTATGTTACAATATTTTCAGCAATACAGTGTTTTAGGGACACAATATATATTGTTAAAAAAATATTATTAAAAAATTTCTAAAAGTAAGAACATTTTTTGGAGAAAAAAAACTTTTTAAAAAAATTCAATCATGATTATGTACACGTGTACTCGACTAACTAATTAAAATTTCCCATACATAAAACAATTAGTAATGCGAAATTATTGCTCATCTTCCAAAAATGTGAAAAAAAAATTAATTCTTATGAGATCTTTCTTGTTAATGGACAATATAAGTATTACTAGAAAATTCAACTTGCATCCACCATGAAAGATTAGTAAATTCACTTACAATAATATAGGTTCGAGTTAAATAATATTTAAGATTAATATGAATACATTAGCCCAAAGAAGACAAGAATCTGGCAGGTGTTTAACATATAATGGGGATGCTACGAATTATACTGGAACTTATGGCAACATCAAGTGATAGAAAAGGATACTGCACCTTGACTGCTCTTGCATTACTTCTATTTGTAATCCGAGAAATCTGAATATGGCAACGAAGCAGTCAACCTTGGACATCATTGCCGGCCTCTCCTGCAGATAATTACCAAGAAAGATAGATGTAAGCAGTGAAAAGATATTTTAGTAGTCACTTGGGCATGTGATGCAAATATGGGTTACTAGAATTCATGAGTATGATCTTTCACCAATGGGAATAAGAAATGATCAAACGAGAGATAACATTTAGCTAGAGTTAAAACCAAGCGATACATTCCACCTATGCCTATGCTCATTGTTGGAACCTGCCAAGTTGTGCTGCTTTTCTGATATTTCTTTCCAAATAGAAAGATCACAGAATATTTTATGATTGAATACTTGTCATTAAAGTGTTACCACAAAGATGTGCACAGACACTCGGTACTTACCATGCATGCACTTGATGAAATTATCAAGATCTGAGAGGAACATTTCTCTCTGTATAATGATGGGAGACAACTGTTGCTGGAATGTGAAGAATGAGAGAAGGTGACGATCGGGATCATTTCTTGGCTTAGCAATCTCTAGAATTTTTGTATACGTTTCTCTAACATCACATGGAAGAGTACTTTGTGCAGCCACCCTTAACCCGCTTTCCCAGGCGGTGTTCAGGACCTGGAAAAGAAGCTTTCATGTCAAACTTGATATGGTTTATAAATAATACTGAGTTCGTGCTGAACATACTGAAGTAGCCTACACCATCAAAACAAAGTGTTAAAACAATCTCAGTGACCTGCCAACTTAATGCTTCAGCATCAGCCAATGCCTCCTCATTTTCCTGCATAGAAGCCTGTGGTCCGCAGCACATAAATTTGATTGTCACTGAATGTTTCTTCAGCATGTTGAAAATGGAGGCATAGCCATCTTGATTTGTGGGATTGTGGAATCCAGCTGTGAGCTCTGCAGCATGGCTAGCTGTTCGATACCACCAGTATATTGCTGGAATCTGCAGAAGGATTCAGAACATCAAATGCTGCTTGATAGACATTTAACTTCTGTTCAGGATGAGCTTCATTGTGCCATGAACTCTTGTTCCACCTATTTCGCTCAACTTGCGTATCTTTCTGTCATCCTATCAAAGGTCACATCTTCGGTTGATTTACATAGTGCCAAACATATCAAATTGTCATAAAGAAGACGGTTCATGGTGAAGCATGGATTATTCTGGACAGATTAAAAGTATCTCCCATTATCACAAGTTCCATTTAAGCAGAATTGTGAGATGTTGTTCCTAAAGCCGATGTCCACATGTTCAGCACGATTAAACTTACACTAATAAGCAACTAAAACAAGCACTACCAGAGGAGCTATAAGAATTATAATCAAGTAGCAATGTAATAAAAGGAGTATCAAATTATTAAAAATTCTACTTCCGAATACCTTAGCAATGATCTCTGTGCCTTCTAATGCAAGGTTCGTGAGGGATAATATCTGATCTGCATGGTCTATAAGAGTTTGTGCATACCAGTGAAGGAAAAATCGTCCATAATAGCTGTCATAATCTCCCTTGTCACAGAAGAAACCAGTTTCATCTGGCCTTAAATTGTAGTGCCCAGCATTATCAGGTCCCCTTGCCCAAAACAAGTGTCCCCTTGATTGTGCTGCTAGTCGAAGATTCTTCTGCATATACTTGTCATAGCACTGCAAAAGATGTAGACTGATAAGAAAATCAAATCACGTATTTAGTCTATGAGTATAACCAACTCTTAGTGGCAAGTCAGTTTACAAAAAACCATATGATTTCATGACCTCCCTGGTATGCTGCATTGGTTAACCAATTTTATGTATTTTACCAAACTGAAATAGAAACTAATAAAGTATTCTCGGAGTTATTTGCTTTAATGAATTTTTCTTACTGCTTTAATCATGTCGATCTTTCTAACAACCAGATGATAGAATAAATTATAGGAGAAATCCAGATTTAGAAACTTTCAGATCCTTAACATGAAAAAAGTGAAGAAGAATCCCTTGCTGAAAATTTCAGAGTTACTCTGACAATATGGTGATAAATTTTATGAATAATGGTGATCTTGAATTCTGTGCATTGCTATGACTAGGTAGCCTGTTTAAACATTTCAAAAGAGGTGCTTGCCTTGCAGTCACTCTTTTACATATAACAAGCTACAAATATCTGGGATCTTGCTTTTAGAATATTTCTACTCTAGAAAACAGGATACAAACTTTGCTGAAGATTAAGTAACTCCAAGAGACTTATATAGAACAATTCTCTATGCAGTCATGCATTAGGTAGGAATTACAGACACAATTCAATATCTTCTTTACAGACTTACCAATCCATATAAAGCAGAAAGAAATTTAGTTGGATAACCTTAAAAAAGATACCTGAAACTCACCGATGCCAGGGTACCTCCACCCCATTCTTTCTGGGAATGAAGGGTATTTCAGTTCCCCTGAAGCACCGAGTCCAATCTCAATGGCAGAAATGAGTCCTTCCTCAAACAAGTCACCAAATTCTGTTCGAAAACTTCTCATGAAATCATAACAGACCTGAAGAAGCAGTAGCATGCCCAGCTATAATAAGCCATTCAAACTCCATGTATATTAAGAGTTGGAAAGTTAGAATGTAGAGAAGTCTGCATCATAGGCTCAAATTATCTGTGGAACATGATGGGAAAATAAAATAGAAAAGAGAAAAGGTGTATGATCACGTATTGAAATAACTGGTTTAAAAAAGATGCTGCTGGTTTGTAACAGAAAAGAAGCAAAGAAAAAAGTTTGAAAAGTTCCTAAACATTGAAGTGAAAACTCCATTTTGTTGGTCTCAATAATTAAACATAAAAAGTAAATATTGATGAAAACTATCAATTGATAGCATGGTGTTAATAACCAAGTACCTCAATACCAGTTCTTCCTTTCAGAACACGTTCTTTATCAATTCCCCAAGAAAGACATTCCATGTTTCTCCTCCCCTCACGATCAGTGAAGAAAATATCTTGATTATCTTTTCCAATCTCCAAGACCCACTTAGGCAAAGAGATTGGCATATCACCAGACCCATTTCCTCCATTCTCATGAAATGCCATTACAACCTTCACAAGATAATCAGAGGAACAAAAAAAGTTACAAGTTGTTCAAGCTTTCTAAAAGACTTCCTATATGATTTAAAGATAATGAATACCCTTCCATTTCTAAAAACAAAGTTATAGATAAATGCTTTCTTGTCTTGATGTAGTTATACTCAGAACACTATTACATCTTAAGTGTAGATTTTGCCTTAAAATTAACTTTATTAAGCAAGAAAACATTTCATGGTAAAGCAGGAATTCTGAAGTTTAAAGTTTAATAATTTCTGGAACATAACCCTTGATTCTGTTGCTATGCAATTTTTAATTGTACAAACATTCAGATGCTATCACCATGAAAATGTTGTCACAACTTCAGATATAATTATGTCACGGAAACTACTGTGCATAGGGCATTTCTCCAGGTACTAGAACCTTCTACTTTCTAAAAGTCAACCCAGAGACGCATATCATATGGTCAGTGTCACATAGTGCCCTTGCCATGTCATGTCAACACAAGTACCTTGGGGGCAAAACAAAGTAACCATGAACCAAAGGACCACAACTATGATACTAGGCATTAGCAAGAAGGTATTCTTTTTCTAGACAGATTTTAAAAGGAACTAAATGTCCAAAATCACTCCAAACTAGACAAAGACAAAAATGTCTTCACCTAAACAACATGAAAACCCAAACATTAGTTTCATATATCTCCTTCCAGAAAGTAAGGTCACAAGTCTCTTCTAATAACCAGCATTTCACATGTAGATGGATGGTTAACTTTCCTCTTTCCTGATGAACAGTTTTCCTTTTCCCTTCTTCATCAATTAATAGTTTTTTGTTGATCAACTTTTTCTTAGAAGATATCATCTAATTGTTTACACTAAAGCTATTGACTTTTTCCCCTCATCACTGCTTCAACAGTTTAATGTATTATTCTAAATGAAATAACTTTCTTGACATGTAATCTAAAAATGGGAGGATTAAGTTACTTTTCAATTAAGACTCCCCTAATATAACAACTGCAATAACCTATTTACTTGAATCGTATTATTCAGTTTCTTGACTTGTTCAATTAAACCAGTTGAGAACTCCAGAAGCTGACTTGTATGATACTAAAATTCATTGAGAATTAGGAACTAGGAGGTATAACATGGGTTCCTAACACAATCTCCTATCAAATTAGAAGTGTCCAAGTAGCTTTCCCATATACACCTTTCCATGTCTTCATTTTCTTTTCTTGACAGGGACTTCTATCCCTTCACTAAAAACATATAGCGACTACAACTACACATCCAAAGTCACACAGATAAACTGCTTGATATTTGTAATTCATTAGCAGACCAGTAATATGATTCTGTAGTTAAATTGATTCATGCAACTTAGCCAGATGTCCATGGCTAATTCAAATTGCCAGTATTTTGTACATGGGGGCATGCCCATGAACTTTGACTATTGATGTCACGGTCATATGATTTGATTTGTTCATCATTTTTTTTCTTGGCATGCCTCGACAAGTCTTTTGAACAAGATTGCAGGACATAGTGCAGCAAGACATGACGATGTAGTACATAACGACCACAGATGGCACATATGGTACATGGCATAAAAAATTTCATTTTTTTCTCACTATAAGCATGTTATCTGCACTTAAATTTAATTTGTTCTTAGCTATGGTAGTAGAACAATAGCATACGACAAGGCATTTGATAAACTTGATTTAGCTGAAAAGATAGAGGAGATTATTTATCCTGATAATACAGGTGAGACCATGAGTGCATATTTAATCTCCGTAAACATCTTAAAGACTTACCTGAAGTTTCAGCTCGAATTCTTGTAAAATAGTAAACAGCTCTCTGTAACCAGACCAATTGTACTTGCATGGACTCCAACCTTCCACTATTCCCCACCAACAATCGACAACCACTCCATCAACACTTAAAGATTTCAGATGCCTTAATTCTTGTCGGACAGCTTCTGGGTTAACCAGTTGACAATAACTGTTGATGATGCCACTCTAAAATGGTAGCAATGAAGAAATTATTAAATTGAATCTAGAAATTAACATCTCTATCAAGAAAGAAAATTACTTGATGGTGGAAACTAATAGGAGAAAAGAAAAAAATTAAAGAAAAATTTAAAAAGGTATTCTCATTAGATGCTTTAAATTATACAAAGCTTCAACCAAAGTAAAAATAAGGTTATTTGCAATTAATTCTCCATACCTCAGAATGAAGGAACTTTATACACTCGACTATGCTTTTTCTTTGACTTGTTATTTGTAGGGTCTGACTCGATACCAATTGTGCCTTCCCTTTTTTCTAACTTGTCATTTGCAGGATCTGACTCCATTCTAATGGTATTTTCCTTTTTTCTTTGACTTGTTATTTGCAGGATCTGACTCCATACTAATGGTACCTTTAATATAAAACATAACAAGTTGATTTCTATTGCATGAAAGTATATTGGAAAACACAAATACTGTGGAGTGAGCTCCACTGAACAGTCTCATTGCTTCAGGACAACAATAACATATCATAGTACTAACAGCCAACTCTACAGATCTTCCTGAACTTTCCCATAAAGTTCTCCTGTTTACCATGAATTCTTCTTTTCCTGTACTTTTCTTACCCTTTTGTGTTGATGCCTCATCTACTTGTTGAGTGTGCATCAGAATTGTGAACACTGTATTCTGTCATGAAGATTACTTCTGCAAGTGTGATTATAGTCTAAGCTGCAAAAACCATCTAGCTTGGTTGCTCCTATAAACACTAGAAACTCACTCCATTCTCATCTTGACCCTAAAAATTTGAGCTTCTTGGAGTCTAAAGACCACTCTGCCAGCTGTAACTATCATGACTTAATCAGACTTGATATGCACCAGTGTTGCATGGACATGGGTACAAGAATCTGAATCGGATGTGTGTCTTGACTGTCTTAGTCTCCAATTTGGCAAGGGAACAAATGAAGAGACACAAGAACACATAGGACAAGAATAATAAAAAAATCTATGATATTCATATGGTAATGTCATAAGGTATCTGACTTGACTTGATTAAATTTTATGTTTCACTGTTTCAATGTGTGCCAGCTTGTAGCGGGTGGCATTACCGTATTCCCAAAAACCCATCAATATGCCTTTTGTCAGTCATCTATAATCTCGTTGCAAATAAGATGATAAATTACAGTATAACTCAAACAAACAATACGGTTCATGATCCTTTTTCATCATTTTCTAGGTCCTGCCAACCACTTGGGGTTTAAACATGGTTTGGTACTGACTTGTACCTTTTGGGAAGTTAACTAGCATGCCCATATCAGAAGCACAACTTTATGGTTCCAATGCCCAAGCTGTTAGATTGCAGGACTGGAATGATCAAGTCCAGAGAATCTCCTATGGTTCATGAAGTTTTAAAGAGAGACAACTACATAATACAGCTGTTATATATTCTAAAATGATCTCCACTTGATGATCAAGTTATTTTCTGCAAAGAAAATGTAGAAATTACAGTATAGTCATTTAATGTATAATTAATGAAGTTGGATGACATCTTCGCACATAAACTTTCACAAGGAAAGATTCTACGAAAAGTTAATTTACAAAGAGCAATAATTGGAAGTCGAAACAAACAAACTATCATAGTGACATCAGTTGCAAACTTTTTGGTTTTTACAGGACCATAATAACTTACCTACTAGCATTCACATCCTAACAGCATTAAAAAATATGTTGAACATACCTAATAAGTAATATCACTACATTTCTCCTACTTATTACTGCATTGATTTTTGTCCCCTTGATATATTGGACACTTCATTTGCTTTCAAATCCAACATGACGATGTTTTGCTGCTTAAATCAATGTGAAAAGAAGATGTTTCTAAAAGATCAGATGTATTAGAAAACATCAAGTTAGCTACTTGTTAATCAACAAAGAAAATACATGAATAAAAAATCACATGAAAAATCCATCTGGTTTCAGAAGATAAACCATAGTCACCGTTCAATCAAAATTGGACATATATAAATTGGTTTTGGTCGAACAACCAAAACTCCAAGTACTCGGGGGAATTTTATATCAGGTTGAATATCAATAAATTAAAAGAAAAAGAAAGATTCATTTAACAACATCATTAATGATACTGACAAATAGATACATATTAAAAGATTACCAAGATTTGTGATATTTCACTATACAAAAATAATCCACAAACAATTCTAGTCACTCACCGTGAGCGCTGCATAAACTGGAACATAAGAAGTTCCAACATAATTAGCCTTGTGATCTGTAGATTCTCGCATAAGCTGTGAAAGTTTTGCCAGTAAGGAAAAGCTAGAACATGGAACAAATTTTCAAATAACTAAGAAGCTTAAACATATAAAACGCATAAGGCGCTAGTAGTATATTAAGATACTCGTGGCTAATGTTGATTTATGGGTGCATAAACTCAGTACCACCTTTTTGTCGATCATTACAAGCTAGAGTTCAACAACATCTATAGGTTGCAAGAATTAATGTTAGAGATTGCACAAAGGGATGCCAAAAGAAGAAAAGTTTAAAAGGGGTGATGATAATTCTTGTGGCCCTACAAATGCACATAGACATAATGGCATTTGTTTTGATCTTTTGTGTTATTAGCTTTTATCCCACATGACCTCTCATACCAATGGAACCTACCATGTAGTTTGATAAGTAGCTTATTCTGCAATTTTGTAACACTATAGAAGGCTTATCAAGATTAATTCAAATAAGCATTATCTTTCAGGTTTTAATTTATATATGATTGCAGCAATGCAGCAAATAACAACAGTGATCTAAATTAGAGTAGGTACCAACAACAACGTCTAACTTATATACGCATGCATGCATGAGATGTTGTTCCTTCATGGCATTAAATTTAAATATTTGCGTGTGAATTGACATAAATTTCATCTAACTGGTAGCTTGTAACAAGATAACGAAGAAAATGGAACTTATAAGTATGAAACCTACCATGCTGCACTTAGTTTCATTTATTACTGACCTCACAACACAAGCAGTTTAGGAAAATATCAAAGAAACATACCTGGTCATGTCCAACACAATCTGGTGAGTTAATGGGGCTTGCATTAGCGTACTTCTCGCTTTTGATGTCTCTTTCAGCAACTACAATGGAATCAAAGGATGTTGGTGACAAACTCTCATCAATCCTGAGTAAAGCAGCCTGAGAGTCCAAGGATGCTTTGATGGAGCAGTTCTTTAGAGAAGTGGCAGATAAAGGACTGTCACTCGATCTAATTGGAAATGGTGCCTGAAGGTATAAAAATCATCAGAATCATAGAGGCACTAGATGACAACTGATATCTGAAAAAAGATATTATTTTAAACTCGACTACTTTAAACTTATACCAGGATATATCAAAACCAGTATATACTTTTTGAAAAACTGCATTTTAGAATGAAGGGAATGCTAAAGTAGCAAAGTAATTAATTTGCTGAGAAACATATAGAGGAATAACAGAACCTCTGTGTTTGAGACTAACTTCACCACACAAAAGAAAAAGAAAAGCAAGCAGTATACCTATTTTAATTGTTTAATTGGAGGAATCACAATTTGGTTAAAATTTTGTCAACCAAATTTATTTCTACTAGTTTCATGCCTAAGCTGTCCGTCAAAATGTCAAATGCAAGCACACATATTTCTTAAGATTTATAATCTTCAAGAAACTTCGGCCAATCTTGTACCCAAACCTATACAAGAAAGGGAGACCGCATCTGCACATTCAAACAAGTTCGCCTAGGAAACTATAATCTTTTCAGACAAGTGATTCAGAGAAATTCCAACATGAAACCTTTTTCACACTTTTTGATTTCACTTTCACTACCACTGTTTACAAACGATTAAATTAATGACTTGCAACCCTAGTCTAAGTCCCCATTGTCTAGTAGGATGGTTCAGAAGGGGGGGAAAGCAGAGCAAGAGGGGAACTTCAAAGAATAGTACAGGAAAATTCACGTTTAAATGTCAAAAGAATATGAATTGGAGAGCAATAAGTGGTACCAGTTGGGTTGGAGGAGGGGGCGGGGGTGCGGCGGGGATGGAGGAGGCCGGAGCGGGGGAGGGGCGAAAGGTGGTGCCATCGGGCTCGACGATCCACCCGGCCTCGCGGGCGAGGGCGGCGAGCACGTCGTTCATGTCGGCGCGCGCGGGGAGGAGGAAGTTCCCATACTGTCGGAGGCCGGCGAGCATGCGGCTGGTGATCGCCCGCCGGTGCCGCTCGCGGAGCTTCGTCCGCTCCTTCTCCTTCTCCCGCTCCTTCCTCCCCTTCGCCACGGCGGAGCCGCCCCCGGCGGCCACCGCCGCGGCGAAGCCACGGGGCCGGCGCTGGGGCTGTAGGGGTACGTCCTGATCCGACCCGTGGTCAGCCGGTTGCAGCAGCTGCTGCTGATCGAGGCCACGGCGGAGCCGAGACTGGATGGGGAGGTCTTGATCCGAATCGTGGTCACCCGGCTGCTGCTGCTGCTGGTGATCGAGGTCCTGCTTCGCGTTCATCGCGCCACTAAAAAGCCCTCATTTTAGGATCGCCTTACCACTATATACTGTCGCACATTTCCATCAATCCACTTGTTATTGTTATTGAAAGATACTTAAAATAGATTGAGGGTCCTCCGACTAAAAATAGAGGCTTAACTAGATTGAGGGTACTTATTGACTATGGATGTTTACTGTTTCTTTGACTAAAAATCTTTTTTGTTCGATTTTCGAAACTTTGGTCAATTAATTATTCATGAACTACAATTCAACCTTTCGAATTGGGTCTTTCTTTGCTTTTTCATGAGCTTTCTAGCTCTAAAAATGAACTTCTAGAGTTATATTAAGAAATTAAAATTATTTTCTAGGTAGAAAATATGAATGTTTTCCTTCTTTTTTTTTCTATTAGGTTGGAGAAGAATTTTTAAGATTAAATATTCCATATGGTAGAGTGCATTAATAATAAGACTGCAAGATAATGTGTTTAGCTCAACATGGCAATCTTTTTCCACTCGGAATAGTAGACTAGAACTTGAAAATGTGTATTTAATATGATATAAGAGGGAAGATTTTTGTGCTTTAATTTTAATCTTGCTTAGTGGGATTATGATTTTTTGGTCAGGAAAGCATGAATTCGTCAAGCATTTGGTGCTGCAAAACTAGATTACGGTATTGCATGGAAACAAAGCATTACTGCAAAACTAGTTAACCTCTCAACCTACAATCAAAAGTGACTTCAACCTACAATCAAAAGTGACTTCAACCTCCTTCAACCCAGAGTCAAAAGAGGACAGACAAAGTCATGAGCTTGGGATGGGGCAAGGTGTCTGTAGCAAAGCGGAATCATGCAACTTCTCTCTTGGAAGAATCATCTATAAATGGAGCAGTTTTACAGAACCCCCAAACTCTCAAGAGACTTAGGGTTTGTTGTTTTCTAGATTCTTTTTTCCTTACCCTTTTTATGAGTCTCCTTAGAAAATAAGAAAAGAAAACAATGGATGAAAATTCCCCTGGTTGACTTTTTCTGAATGTTAGGTACTGGAGGCAATCAAACACATCAGACAATCAGATCAACATTCTCTAATGTTCATGCCAAAAAACTTGAATAAGCAATGTAGGGCACCGAAAGTAAGAATTGGAGGAACATGAACCTCGATCAAAAGGAGGGTTCAGTTTCCTCTAATATCTTATATTCAGTGGCTCAACAATAATAGTCCACAGCCATCAGCATCTGGGGTTTTGAAAGTGAGAATTGGTGGAGATTAACTGTTAACTACTGTTGAAATTTAAATTTTCTCCAATATCTCGCTGTGTAGGCATCAGATACAAACCTTGAGCTCTCGAAGGTACTTTCTCCATCTTACCTTAATCCATTATAAGTACACTCAGAACAAAAAATTGGACCTCCAAATTCTCATTGAAGATAAATCGATACCCGGAATTCTCGGAATTTTGACCCGAAAAACAGTCATCGAGTACTCGAGCACATAAAATATCAATCGAGATAAACTTTTACGTCGATTCCATTGTCTATGAGAGACTGAACAACAGCTCTTATTTTCCCTTCAAACTTGTCCCTTTCCCTGGGAGTGTAAGTACAAGTGTATACATCAGCTTCTTTTGCCCTCTCTGCTAAGAACCGCCCAACCGCTAAGCATGCAGGTATATCAGATCTCGACTTTAAAACTGCCTTTATATCCTTGGAGTTGGTTCCTGCAACTGCAACCTGCTTGCATGTCACCCTATGGGTGACGGAAGCTGAGACAAACCGCTTGGATATGTAGACATCAAGCGAGAAGGGCTCCATATAAGCTATTGTACGCTGCTTGAATGAAATATGTTTATGTGGGCTCTTTGGTCTCTTTTCCTTCTTGTATGTGTATGGTCTGCTGTTGTCATCATCCAAGAAATCTTCCACACCAAAGAAACTTCTAGGGCCACTGAGGACCTGAGGTAAGATACAAAAATCATTTAAATTGTATCATTTATTAGTTTAGTAAAGTTAACAATTAATAATTTTATAAAGCATGTGAAAACACCATTATGACTTTAATGAATGCTCCTTCAACAAGAACTCAAGTTAAAGCATCTCTTAAACAGATAAGCAACTTGAGATAGGGATGCTTCCAAACGAGAATTAAAAGCCCTTCACATATAGTTAACCAATCAGCATCCATACTGTTTATCCTAAAAACATAGTTGCAAATATCAGTTGGAGGTAAGGAGAACACTTTGGACCAAGATCTTGAACCTTGCCTAGAAGTATGACAAGTAAGATACCAGAGGACAGATAAAGAGGATGCCATCATGGATAACAACATTGACTTCCCTTGGTTTGGAGAATGTGCACAAAAACAGAAGCACATTTGATCAAAACTTGGTTTCTTTTGGGGCAACCTGTTCTTGAGTATGCATGGTCATCATGTAACTCTTAAATCCAATAGATTAGAGTATGCTCGATTAGCAGCCTCTTACGAATGAACCTTATTTCATGGGAGTCATGTATTACAAAATTGAATACATATGTTTCTGGAATATCATCACCAAATATTACTGAATAATTAAATGTTCATTACGTAGTATATAAGATTTTTTTTTTTTTTTTGAAGCAATGGTTTTCTGTCAAGTATTTCAACCAAGGTTGTTGATCTACAGGTAAACGCACCACATGGCTTCTTAAATATTCTATTTTGTTGCAAGGATTGGCTCGTAAGTCATAATATAGTCCAACTTTCTGTAATCAAAACATACTAATTTGTTAAAAAATCTACCAAGTTGGTTCAGTGATTCCAGTCCATCAGCAAATAGGGCCCTCAAAGGAATCAATGTAAATGGGTGAATATTTGTAAGTAAAGATACTTGACAGCTTAGTTTTGATACAATTTACCTTCTGACATTGTGAAGTACATGTTCTAACCCCATTTCATTCTTATTCTACTTTGGAATCTCAATTAGAAACAATTATAGTAGATCACACAAAAAAGAACTATTTGTTTCTGTAAAATAACATAATCACATCAAAATGAAATGAAAAAGAACAATCACCAATTTCAGTCTTCATCGGTGCATGACATAAGATAAAAAGAATAATCACAACATGTGTGATGTACATAACCAGCAAAAATGCATGTAAAAGAAGGGAAAGAACAGAATTCAGCACCAATAAGTCACCTTTCCATCATGGAAACAACGCCGACAAACAAATGAAAGAGTCCTATCTCCATAATCCATTGCATGGCTTCCTTTCCTCCATGTGTTGTTCAAAATATTTCTAATCATCGCCTAAAAATAAACACAAAAAATAGGTTGATTACTAGTTATCAAACTAAAACAAAAGCAAGAATTACAATTTACCACATACTAAACAATACTTCCACTCCCACTATTGTTATCATAATAAAAAACTTTGCATTTAGCAATTTTAACAAAGAAGCATCAAAGTTTGATATCTGTAATAAATATTCAGCAGGTGCACTTTGATATCTATAATAGATCAGCCCGCTGTATGCGAAGTTCACAAGGTCAGTATTCAGCAATGGTTTTATCAGACCAAATTAACAGGAAAATAAGCTATTAACTTGAAGAATAGTGGACGAGAAAGAGGGAACTCAACGATGCAAAAACGAAATTTATAACAACATATTAGATCGTCCTCACCAAATCCACATCTAACTCAAGAATCGACTTGCTCTCGGCGAACCATGGACACTTTACAATAGAGAAAACATCGGGGATCATAAGAAACCCCAATTCTTAAAGAACAAAGCCTGCAGAAATGGCAGAGGAGACTACCAAACTAAACGACATGATCAGGCCTCTTACTGGATCACAGAATAGAGAATCGCCGTTCGGCTGATGGAATCGAAGGCGAGAGATCGCGCACGACGGACGTTTTGCCAAGGAGACGATGCCCTAAAGAAGAATGACGGGTCTCAGTCTCGGCACCGGCCCGGCCACATGTTTACTGGGCCGGATCGAACTCTATCCACCCAAACCTTTATATGACGACCACTACTATCGTTCACACACGCATTCTCACTCGATTGACTACGCATGTATTTATTTGAGGAAAAATGTCGATCCATTGCGAGGCCCTTTCGTGCCTTCCCGTCGCTATCTCCTCGACGCGAATGACGCAATTGATGTCGCAGGGCGGGTATGAAACGTGCCTCCAGCGGGCGCCGCTCGAAACCACCGAAATGCTTCGAGCGAACGACTTCAGCCACTATGTAAGATTCCGCTTAAAACTCCACTCTACGGTGTCGTGAGTTGAGTCGTTTGTTGGATCGAAATTATCAAAGCTGTGGTTGACCTTAGCGCCGCCCACCAATGACGGCATTTATTTCCTTCTCGTGTCCTCCTCCCATCTGTCTTCTTTGTCCTTTTCCGTCTTCTTCCCAAATCGCATTCGAGAATTCGAGGCTCGTATTATCTTCCAGACTAGCAAGCATCCAAAGGAAGAAAGGAGGATTCTTGAATTTTCTTGTTGTTATAGCTCGAAATCGAAGAGGAAGCCCCCAGCATTTTCTTTGTTCCTGGCAGGCGATCGAAGCCTACGGGGGATGGAGAGGGAGTGGAGGGTGAATCCAGATTGCGTTAACGCTTCCAATCCCTTCCATGTGTGCGCGGAGTATTGCGTCCAGCGAGCTCATGTATTGAAGCCGCGAAGCCCGCGGCCGAAATTAGGTCTTTTTTTTTCCTTTTCTCTTCCTATTGACTCCTTTCTTTATTTCTTCTCTGATTTGATCTGCTCTATTTTTGTCTTTTTTATGTATCGAGCATTGAAAATTTGAACTTTGTAGTTGTTGCAGCTCAAAATGGGGAGAGACGTGAAGGGGATCGAGGGATGGTAGTTGCAGAAAGAAATATGGATCCTTCGTGTCGCAACGTCTCGAATCCATACCACCAGTGTGCCGAGTACTGCTCTCCAAGAAGTCCCCAAGTCAAAGAACTAAACGGGGAGAAGCGATCAGGTCTGATTCTTTCGTGGGTTACGGATTGTTTTGTAATCACCGATAATTTTCTCCCTTAATATAAATACATTATTATAAATAATATATTACTTTATTTAAATTATTAACTTCCTTATTTA